AGAGAGAGAGAGAGAGAGAGAGAGAGAGAGAGAGAGAGAGAGAGAGAGAAATTGGCCGAACATCAATCCACAAGAATACACCGACAACACAAAAGAACACACACACACACACACACACACACACACACACACACACGTGTAAACATATCCATTTAATGGCTAACGAAACAATATTACATTACACAAACGTAGTTTATACATATTATCGCATAATAAATTATCAGCAATTAAATAACCGCACATGATAGCACAAAATCAAGCACATTTTATGAAGCGACCACACATTTATAACGGACACTTTGATTTATATCGTTCATTCAATTTGCTTAAATGTACGGCGCTTTTAGTGGTTCTTTCTGCTTTTAATTCTTCTTCACTTTTTTTCCGGTGTCTCGGAGGCAAAAACTAAAGTAGCATAGTGCTTGTCGAGAGAGAAATCAAAATGATATAGCATGGAAATGTGTTAAAGTCACTTTGGTTTCAATGCCGAAAGTGATGTTAATTGTACACACTTTTGAAATGCTCAAATCACTATCAAAGCTTCAAAGACTTGTGCCGATTTGTTTTTGCCAGAATTTTTATTGTTTTTCACTCTAGTCGACAAAGTACGACTCGCTTCTATTTCCAATGAGCCATTTTTTGATTGTTACACACACACACTTTCTTTTCTATTATTATCATTATGATTCTTCAGAAGCTTCTGATAGACTTTTCATAAATGATCAATACATATCAAATGGACCCATGTTGCGACAACCAATCAAAGCTCATACGATTGAGATTGATATCGGTTCAGAGTACCATTCTGATTTGAAAAAAAAAAAAACATTCTTTGCGGCTATACTTGTGAATGAATGATTATTGATTGTGCGTATAACATTTGGGGTCCGCGTGTTTTTCGTATTGTATTTGATTATTATATGGTATCAAACTGTTTGTGTGAGATCTCTTAGAGCTGTTGTCTCATCAAATTTATTCAATCATTTCTTCATATATAAATACAGTTCACTATTTAATTTTTTTGTTTTGCTTGTTTGTCTGTCGATGCTACGATTCTACACATTGTGCTCATTTCAAAAATCATCAGTATGTAACGTCTGAATTGCCACTGCCATTCAGTGCTTCTCATTCGTTTGCCCTGCGCTCTGCTACAATAACAATCTATACAATAATAATAATAATAATAATGTTTAATAAATCTAAAAATAATGCGTACGATTTGATACAAACTCTCAAATCATTTAGAGAATTGAGTGCATTGGCTATGATTAGATTTTATTTTATTTATTCATTCATTTCATTCATTCACTTACTTGAACGCGTTCGGTATTCGAAAAGTTGTGTGTGTGTGTGTGTGTTTCACTACGGCTAGATAGGATAGATATTTTTCAAAACAAATTTTGCTCGGTTGTTGTTTTTGCTTTTCACTGGTCACATGCAAGTTACAATCAACGTGTTTTCACTACATTCGATACAAATTTCGTTTTGATGATTTCTACTGTCTTTTCATTTGCTCTCTTTCTCCGTGGTTTACACTGATTTTTCATTGGTTTTTGTCACTTGTGATGAAGAACGTAAAATTTTTTTGAAACAGTTTTTTTTTTTCTCTAATTTCTTCTTGTTTGTTGTACGTTACTTTGTTTTATTTTGGTGATTTTACTCCTTTCTATTCGGCGTCCACGTCTGTCAGTTTCAATTTCTATTTATTTATTTGATGCGGACGCATACCGAAAGTAAAAAAAACACACACACACACCCACATAAAAACAACATGAAAAAAAAATTGAGTGTTGACTTTGATTTCGTTTCTTTTAATACATTTTATTTTCTTCTATGTGCCGAGAGACGGTCCAACGGATTCCAATAAAATAGCACTCAATTCGTAATTCACTGCACAATTTACATGAAAAATGTTCATTCGCATGTTATTCAGTCAATGATCAAAAATGAACTGATTTAAATCGCGCTGATTTTGCTGAATTGGAATTTTCATCGCACATACTGTATATAAAATTTTCAAACGTGTGCACGCTAATAAAGTTTTGTATAAAACATTAGTTGAACAGAGTCAGAGACACATACAAGCCGCCCGAAACCCGATAGACAACCGAAAGGGAAAGAGAAACGGCGAACACACGGCTGAGCAGAAAAGATGAAGAAAAATAAAATGAAAAAGAAAAAAATCAAAGAAAGAAGCAGAAAAAAAATATCAACTCACACACACCGTGTGTTGTGTATGTTGACATACACAGTTTGCTGACTGTTGGCGTTAAGTTTAGTGTGTTGTTGTTATTTTTTTTTCGTTAATAAGTTGCACGTTTTGTTGATGATGGAATTGATGATGCTGAGAGTTGTGTAAATTTGAATAAATTTCAAATGCAAAGAGAAAAGAAAAAAAACCACCGGAACACTATCGAACGTTTAAAAATAAGCGCAAAGATCTTTCGCTAGTCAAATTTCGGCGTTTATTATATGTTATAATGTGCTTATGACATGTTGTCTGTGTGGTTGTCGCTTTAGATTGCCCGTATGCGGCACGGCGCGCGGCTAGCCTATTGTATGTTTTAAGGTATAATCAGTTGAATTAAACACTGATTAAATTTTTAACTTTTTTTCCCTTCGTTTCACTGCTACTACTCTCTTAGACAGACTTTTAAGTCTGTCTCTTTCTCTCGGTCGGTCGGTCGGTTGATCAGTCGGCTGGTTGATCGTCTCCTTCCCGCTTTCCGCGCGCTCTTCACCAACCAATTTCTCTCCCTATGTTCCGTTCGCACGCCGTTCACACGATTCGCTAAGCGCAGGCAGAGAGCAATAAGCAACATTTACCGGCAGATAGAAGAGCAGCAACGGTCGAACATTATATGTCTCTGTATGGACGAAAACGACGACTACATCATTACACACCGTGTACGCGATTACACGCGTAATTAAGATATTAGTGCTCTTATTTTGTGTGTGCTTTTTTTTCGTCTTTATTTCTACCTATTGTCAAATGCAACTCGGTGAGAATACTACGCGCGAGCGCGTACGTTCCGAGAAAGAGGGGTAGAGAGAGAGAGAGAGAGAAAAAGAGAGAGAGAGTGCAAGAACGAGACGCAGTTCAGTTTTTGTTGTCTCATGTGTTTGTCGATCACATTTTTTTTCCTTCTCTGTGTTCGATGTGGTCATCAGTTTCGGTTGTGTTACCTACATTCTGTGTCGTGTTACCTTAAATGACAGCGATGGCGCAAGAAAAAATATTTCTTGATACGCACCCGTTTTATGCAGTTACAAAAACTATAGTAATGCACAGGTTTTTTTTTTCATTTCTATGTTGCTCTCTGTGTACTGCTGTGTCGTTGCTATTGCTGTTGTTAACGCAGAAGGTCGATGAGTAAATGGAGCAAACAGCATGTCACGAATCAAGTCATACGCCACCATCTGACCGAGCGATCGAGCGATACACACATGCACACCAGTTTGAGTGAACCAAACGCGAAAATTCAATCAGCAATCTGTGTGTTATCTAATGACGCATTTTTTTTTCAAACATATTTGATAATATCAAATCGGGCCTAAACACATGTACGTCAACAGTCGAATCACAGTTATTGGTGCTGTTGTTGTCATAATATATTGTATTTTTTTCGCTGTGTGTCTTTGCATATCAACAAGCTGATATATTCAAATGTGTATAGTGTAATTTTTTCGCTGCTACCTTGTTGGCCTGCGTTGTTACATCGAAATGAACCAAAAAAAAATCACTCAATCAACACTAATAACGGCAAAAGTGTATTGTTCACTTGTTGCACACTTTTCGTCCAATCAAACACTTTCTCCGAATATTCATCTCATTTGTGTTTATTGTGGTTTATCGGCTGCTCTTTTTTATTGCCGCTGCTTGCAACAAACATTTTCCATTTCCTCAACGGCCTCGATTCATTCTTACAAATCAAACAGTGCAATGAATAAAACAAGCTAGTGTACAATGACGTCAATCTATTTTAGATTAGCTACTTGGGGATGTCAAGTTATTCTAATTTACCTGAAAGCCATATTTCATAATCATACACTTTTGCGTCGCGTTCGTGTGGTGTTTTTTTTTATTTGCCGCTCGCCGTTTATCGATCTCTAATTTATTTGCAACTTTACGCTAACACTACTGATGTTGTTGCTGTTGCTGTTGCTGCTGCTGTGGACATATGTCAGCCTCATACACTTTCATGAGATTGAATTTATGGAAAGAGAACAACATTCAACACGTTAATAACGCATACACTAACACACACAGAAGCATTGAACACAGCAAATTTGGTTAGATGTCTATGAAAGTGTATCTTTTTCAATTAGTACATTTGATTAGGCGCCAAAACACCGTTTTTTTTTCTTGCTCTACTGTACAACTAAATCGGATTGCCGATCGAATTAATGGAAATTTGTGGTGTTCACTGAACACTGATCGGTGGACAATTTGAATGTAAGCTCAATAGAGAAAAAACCGATTTTTACAATGCACAAAATGCTTCGTTTATTCTACCAAAGTTTCTTCTATTCGGCGAATCTAATTATAAATCATGCAATGTGCATGCAAATAGAAGAATTTCTTCCATCCTCAGCCAATGTACGCTTATACACAGGCACCGACGACACCGAATGTGAACCATTGGTTCAATCCATTTGCTCAGCGCCCAAGTCTCTACCGCGCAGCAAACTCCGAGCAACAGCAAAACCGTTTCGTCCATCGCGTGGACAACAGACGATTCCGTTGAACCCCAAGCTGCACACACCCGACGCGACACGCATCAGTGTCTACTACCAAAACATTCGCAGCTTGGGTAACAAACAGGATGAATTTTTCCACAAATGTGCTGCTTTCGGTTTTGACATAGTCATCTTGACTGAAACCTGGCTCAAACATAGCCACCGTAATGCCGAATTCTTTAATAGCACTTACGACGTCTACCGCAAAGACAGATCATTTAGACGAGGTGGAGGTGTTCTCATTGCGCTCAACAATGAAATCTTCTCTACTGAAGAAATTAAATTCGACAAAGTGGACATTGAGCACGTATGCATTAAAGCGAGCTTGCCAACACACAACATTTTTATTTACAATGCATACATTCCACCGAACTCACCCAACGAAATCTACGCTTTGCATCGTTCAGCCATTGAATCACTCACGACAAATGCCGATGACGTTGTGATAGTTGTTGGTGACTTTAATCTGACAAACGTTGAGTGGTTAAATGACGATGAGGATAGCAATGTGCTTGTTCCCTCTAATTTCCACTCCCAATGTGCTGCTGATTTCATTACCGGCCTGATGGGCCTGGGCCTCCAGCAAATCAATTCAATAAGAAATCGGAACTTCAAACTGTTGGACCTATTTTTCACAAACGACCATGCCAACACATCAATTTCCGATGCCACTAAACTGTCACTGACGGATAAAATCGACCATTACCACCCTCCTCTGCTGATTGAATTTGAATGGCATCCGAATAACAGTGGTTCCGAAAACCAGAATAATACGCATTTCAACTTCAAACGGGCTGATTTTCAGCGCATGAACGAATATTTTGCTGCCGTCAATTTCGATGACTTATTCGCAAACAAATCACTTGCGGAGAAGGTGTCATCCCTTCATGACGTGCTAGCGGAAGCTATTCAGTGTACGGTTCCAACGTATGTCCGCAAGAACAACCAAAAATGCCCATGGAAAAACAAAGAACTTCGACACCTCAAGAACTTAAGGAAAAAAGCCTGGGATTACTGGAAGCTGACCAATGATAAGGAGCCATTTGAAAAATTGCACGAGGAATTCAGTGCAAAAAACACTGAACTATACAATCAGTACGTCGACAAAATGAAATCACACTTGAAAAGTGATCCTTCTTCGTTTTGGCAATATGTTAACTCTAAGAAGAGCACTGATAACATTCCAAAAAACATGCGATTCTGTGACACCAAGACATCCAGCGAATCAGAGCAAGCAAATTTATTTGCGGACTTCTTTGGGAGCAATTACTCCACATCAACGACGCCAAATAATCAACCGTCACCTCAGTCTGAGAACACCTCTTGTTTCCAGCTTGACCTCGATTTTGTCATGACTGAAATGACGAAGGTCAACACCAAGAAAGGTGTTGGACCTGACGGTATTCATCCTTTGATTTTAAAGGAGTGTGCTCAGACGCTTGCTAGTCCGTTGACCAAGATCTTCAATGAGTCGCTTTCATCTGGCATTTTTCCCGACGAATGGAAACGATCGAGTGTATCACCCATATTCAAAAAGGGCGCCAGATCGGACATTGAAAACTACAGGTGCATAACAAAACTACCAACGATCGCTAAATTCTTCGAGCATCTCGTCAACGTAAATTTGCTTGAAATTGTTCGTGATCGCATCTCGCCTAACCAACATGGCTTTATGAAAGGACGATCTACAGCATCAAACCTAACCGAGTTTGTGTACTACGCCCAGAGTGGCTTAAACACTGGAGCTCAAGTTGATGTCCTGTACACGGACTTTACGAAAGCCTTTGATCGAGTTGATCACAGCATATTGATCCAGAAGTTGGAAACATTCAATCTACCTCAAAACATGCTGGCATGGCTTAAGTCGTACCTGGAAAATCGTACCCAATTTGTCAAACATGGAGCAAGTGAGTCGGTCGACTTTACAGCGTCGTCGGGTGTCCCACAGGGGAGCCACCTCGGACCAACACTGTTCCTGCTGTTCATCAACGACATCGTGGATCAAATGCCCCCAGACATCATGATATTATTGTTTGCTGACGATATCAAAATTGCCAAAATCATCAAATCTCAGCAAGATTCGGAGATATTGCAACAAGCCATCGACAAACTTAAACATTGGTGTGACGTGAATCGGCTGCACCTTAACCTCAAAAAATGTGCAGTACTATCTATCTACAAGAAACGTCAGCATTTGGATACAAACTACACCTATGGCGACTATACCTTCGACAAAGTGACTGAACACAAGGACTTGGGTGTTCTAATTGACAGAAAGCTATCTTTTGCCAAACACATCGACATGGTCACTTCGAAGGCAACGGCTGCACTTGGCTTTGTCAAACGCTTCTGCCATGATATCACCGACGTTACCACACTAAAGTCGCTGTATTTTGCATTGGTTCAATCCCACCTCGACTACTGCGCCATGGTATGGCTTCCATTCCACAAGATCCACAGCGACAAAATTGAATCCGTGCAACGC